TTGCTTAATTCGGCTATGGTGTTCATAGGTTATTTGAGAGGATGTGCTCATGAGGAATCTAATCGTTAGGTTGTAGATTGTGTACTCTGTGATCGCTCGACAAAAATGGTGGTATGTTCTTATGAGTACATTCTCAAAGATATTTTGTGGGTAAAAAACAAAATCAAAGTGCATATAAAGAATAATTATCTTGTCTAAATATTTGGTTATCCGATATTAGCTAGTTGTTTTCACTCACGTATACTTGCTTGTATGTTTACACGATTATTAATACATAGAATCAGCTATTTAGACTAAATGCGTAATAAATATGACACAGTTAGGCTACAGTACATAATAAAATTAAGATAAGCTGCATCCTCAATGTCTGGGTAGTCGGACAAAAAATTATCCAAGTAATAGTCTTAACCCAAATTTTATCATTGATATAGATAAAAAAAAACGAATTTTGAAAGATAGCACATTAAGAAAAATAATGAATTTTTTGTAAAAAGGATAGAGTGTAAAGTAATTGCGTAAGTATTAACACGGTAATGATGGAGGCGACTTAAAACTAATTGCTCACAGTCTATCTATGAAAATGTATCCATATAAATTAGACCTCGTCAGATCGTATATTAAATATTTTATCGTTGTTAAATGAATATAATTACAATTTCATAAATAAAATGTCACTACATTCAATCATCCGACCACGCCCAATCTCATGAATACGTTCTCACAAAAGAGTTGCGCACACAGTAATTAAGCATAGCCGAATTGGACTTAAACCGCAACTCAAAGAACAAAACGATGAGCCGCCAGCCAATCTATATCTGCATTGTAATTGCTTCCTTTTTCCCTGTTTGGACTTTTATTTGCGTCGACCCTGACTCCGATCCGAGAGATTTTCACGTGTCAGTTCCGGCCAAGAAAATGTTGGCAGGTAGTTATGCGTACGTATCCAAGTACCAAGTTCCTTCTTGATTAGGTCCCCTCTTGTGAGTGCAACTCCATTCCGTCGACTGATGGTAGATCTTTTTAAGTACCGCCAGTCTGCACCTCAAGCTGGCTCCCACTTGCACAGTTGCACTTGTATATGTGAGCGTCTTTGTTTAGCTCGAACCTTTTATTGGGAGTTTTCGTGTACGTGAAAATGAACAAAAGCTATTTGCGAGCAGTTTAATGTTTGAATTGCGAATAACTCGTTTGCTACTCGACTCCTCATTTAACAAGCTGATTTTAGAGTCAACTCGTTATTAAATGAACCAAATTTGAGCTAGGTCTCGTCCAATTTATTAAGCTCGCGAGTTAGCTAGTTGGACTCAGTGACTAATTGAGCTCGGCTCATGAGTTGGTTTATTTGGAGCTCACGGGCTAATTAGTTGACTCTTTGGCTTGTTCTTGTTGAACTCCGCTCGTGGATTAAATCCTTTACTGATCACGAGCTGACTTAATAGTGTAGTTCTCGGAGTCCAACTCTATATAGCGTCCAAGTTCTCTTAGAATGACTGGATAATTAATTAAATTAAATAATATTAAAACTCACAACATAACTTTATTTGAGATTCACGGAACATGGTGGAAATATTCTTGCCCATTATTATTAATTAGTACCTATATATAAAAGCTGAGTTCAAAGTTGAAAAAGACCGAGAGAGCAACACGCGCCCAAAGTGACTAAAAAACCTTCCCGTCCTTTTCCTTTTTATAGTCTTGCCATTAGCCTCAATCCCCCTTCCCATTTCCTAACCCGAATAATTTGTTTTTAGCGAGAAAATGGTACATGTTGCTGACTTAAATCAAATCCGGTTTTATGCTAGAAATTCGTTCTTACTTATGAGAAATCACAGGTTGGATGGACAAACTACTGAACAATCATTAAATCTCATCCAAACAACCCATATAATCACTCAGCTACGCAGAAGAGGGACTGGGAAAGGAATTGCAAGACTGAAATCCCAGATTTTTCGAAATTTGCTAGAATAAAATGCATCATAGTTACCACCGAATTCAACACTCGAAACCCAGAAACGTTTTGGCCTAAAATTCGCATGGAAAGGAAAATATAAAAAATCCAAATAAGAGCAAAGAAAGAAAATGTGACAAACAGCCAGCCAGCGTTAGACTGTGAAGTAAATATAATAATTAACTAGTAAGGAAACCCGCGCTCCGCGCCGAGAGGCAGTTTGTGATGTCATATTGGAGAATTCACGGGACACATATAGCAATTTTTCCGAAAGGGCGCAATTAGTGCGAGGAAATATATTAGCGAAGAAAAACACATTAATATATGCTAATTAGGATTGGCTTAAAATGCCTTCAGATTACACTCCCTTATATAGAGGTGTGAAAGGTTTTCGAGTTGTGCAAATTCTTGAGCATTAGGGCATAAAAGAAAAGGAATATGATCTTTTTGTTGTTCAACTGTGCAGTTTCATTGGTCATTGACTCGAACAGCTTCCCTATCCCTATGGCCTATATCAGAAGTAACTCCCCCCTCCCCTACCTAGAGACCAAACACCACCTAGATTCAATCAAAGAAATTCGTCCCACTTATACAACCATTAGGCCATTCAATTATATAGCAACGTGACAACAAAATAAAACATCAAAAAGTATACCTAGGTGCATGACTATTATCTTCAAAAGCAACCATATATCAAACCTAAAGGGCTTCCCATCATTTTCGTAGTAACGTTCAACACCTCAACCCTTATTCGGCCGTCACCATCTTGATGCTAGTCTTCTTACCGGTCATCATACTATACAACTAAAGACTGTATGAATAACCAAATAAGGAGGAAATTCTATGATTGATATGCAAAAGCGTACAATAAAGGAAAATTCGATTAGATGTGGCAAGCCAATGAATATAAACAACAAAAATCTAGTGAGTTGAAGGAACACAATACAGAATATCAGAATAGAGCTCATCACAATAACCTCACGTTTCTAATTAGTTAAAACACTAATCAAAAGGCGAATGTGATTGGAAAAGGCCCAGAGCATTCAACGCAACAAAAGAAAAGGTATGGTTGCAATTAGAAAATTAACTTATAAGAAGCATAAAATTTGGGAGGCCTTCAAAATTGCAAAGAAGAACTAAAGGCAAGCAAAATTATATGGATGCATATTGGTTGCAGCCTCATACATGAACTGAAAATATAAATTTTGTAACGGAGGAACATAATTATTTTCTATCCACATTGATCTAAAAAGCAAGGAAAAATAAAAAGAGCTGTTGAATTGACTTTCGTGAATCTGCGAGAGAAAACATACCATTCTCCATCAAAACCTCATTACTGGTCTCTTGAGGTGCAACTCATGTCTATTAACTCAAGAGGCAGTATCAGCAATTATAAGTAATTTGTAACTCTTTGGCAGTTTAAATGGATAGGTGTATAAAACACTCACACATGCATTCTGCTAATTCCCAACATCTGAACTGCCCTAGCAAGATTTTCGCAAAATAAGCAATCAGACAGTAGGACGTAAGTGTACAGACTCCATTAAATCTAAAAAGGGGAGAAGAAATCAAACTCCTTACAGCAAGCACTATACAACTAATAAGGTTGTAAGGAATCAGATCTAGACCGTACACAATACCACCTACAACAGCAGCAGTATAAAAAAATGCAGCAGCGCCAATTAAAACACAAAGGAAGATAGTAAGAGAAGAATTCTGAATAAAGTGGCCAACAAAAATAGAATAACTACATAAGGGAACACAATAGCAGGCAGCAACATCAGAACTGCAGCACAACGAACACGTAAACACACACGAAACAGTAGAGGGAAGCAACCGAGAGGTTTGATGTAGGGCACTCTTTGACGATTCTATAACAAAGATGTAACATATGAATGTAATATGGAAGCAATGCATTCAATGTAAAAAAATAGGAAGTTCGAGAATAAAATCCATGACAGTAGTGGTTCCAAGTTCCAACATTCTATGTAATTTTCTAATATAGGGATTCATATGAGAAAAGCATCAGTGAAAAGAGATAGCAAGCCAAATCATCAAAGAATTCCTGGAAGACACATAACCTGCTCACTTGCTCGTATTTCAGTACTCATATGATTCTCTAGTGCAAATAACAGACATACCCATCCCGCTCCAACTGCAGCCTTATCCCCAAACATAACACATAAGTCTTGAAACAGAAAGCAAACGGCCTGCTAATTTATATTACTTATTATAGCATACCACTTATAGTTGAACAATATGTAGTATTATGGAGCATTGGGAAGATGACGTTGAGGAATATCACGGTGGTAGAAAAGTATGCGGGATTTGGCTCTAGTTATGAAACTATAAAAGCACTAAATAGTTAAGTCATGACTGATGCAACATTTTCCTTCTACATATGCAAACTGAGGTTTATATATACATGAACATAACTTGTTCTAACATTTTCTATCATTTCTGTTTGTTTTTTACCTCCTCTTTTATTTGTGCCATCGCAACCAACTTTCCTTAAAGGAGTTTGATATGTGGCATCTCATCCCACATTTGGATCCTGGTGTGCCAACTTGGAGGAGTTTTTTCAGGATCTGCACATATTTGAGAATAAAGGATTCAGAATCAAAAGTGGCAGTATGTTACAGAACAAACTCATATGTTCTAATCAACATCCCAAAGGATCGGTTTCATCAACATAGAGTTTTTTCTTATCGCCTACAAACATTAAAAACCCTTTTCCGTTCATAAAATCTTCACATGTGTAAAGATAGAATCAGAGAAGCAGGAATTTAAAGTTCTGCTCTACCTGTTTCGGTGATGGAACTCTGTCAAATCAAGCAACCACTTAACTGTGATAATCACAGGCGGTCCTTGCTGTTATTCAGACCGCTCACAACTCTCTCCATTGCAATAGCTTTACCAATGGGAAACCTGCAAGTCTAAAAATCCATTAGCATTCAGATTTAAAAAGTGATGGCCAAGCATCGCAATGCAGGGATTTCAAGTAAAGAAAACAAATCAGAACCCACCCAAATGGCTGAAAGTCCATGAACATATACAAACTTAAGGCAAGCATCGAAATTTCCTCATCTCTCCCAGATTTACAATTCTTTGAAGTTGTCTTTGTGGCACCAATTTCGCAGCTGGTCGACAAACATTGCAATGTCCTCCCCAGCCCTCCCACACTTACAGTTCCCGGAAGTTGACTCTGTCGCACCAATTTTGCAGTAACCAACTGCACGATAATAGTTTGTTTAAGTGCATCTTTTTTCAGTGCACCAGGCCCTTCAGGTTTCTTGAAATCCTCTTTGATCAAAAGGCAAGGCTCTTCATCTAACAAATCTGAATCAGGGGCAATCTGCAGTTGAATAGGTATTTGTGTACCCTTTTTTGGAACAAAGAACGCCCCTAGTGTCCAAGGAAGGGAGATAATGAAGTTTATACTTCCACTACTTCTATCCTTGTTGATACCAACTGCACCCTGATTCATGTTATATGCATTAGCAATGACACCTATGAGGAAGTTTGCTAATCAGACCTCTACATCATAATTTACACATCTCATTTCGGGGGTGTTAAAACTGACTAATTATTATGAGAAGACAAAAAGATCCTACAGACTTCTGCAAGTCTTTTTGACCAAGTTTTGCTTGGTATGCAGCGTAACTTAACATTCATGTGTGTACTGTGAGATGGAAACAAAGATTACGGAGACCATACTGAAAACAACATACAGTGTCATGGTCTGCCTTTAATGAAAAGAATTGTAGAAAGAAACCCAGTCCTAACAATAGAGCTCTATGTAGCATAGTGCAGCAACCATAAGTTGCCTTGAATATAGATAGGTTATCGGTATTTGTTTCAGCAACCTGTTTGAGCTTGTATATGTCAATGTTTCATTTGGAGAAAATAAAAGCAAAGTAAATGTAAGCAAAAATATATAATGAGCAACATATCACAAGAAAGGGAAACACAAATTTCAAGCTGAACAGTGTCAAAGAGGCATGATGCAAAAACATAGCATTCGAGCCTCCTCTAACCGGATTAGAAATACATGAGCAAACACAGTGAGATTCATTATGTGCTACCTAGCTAGATGAAGCAACACCGGAAGTCAGAGCAAAAGAAAAGTTTGTTGCCTTGCAATGAAATCTAAGGAGAGTAATTCCAGAAGTAGATTTTAGTTCACACTTAACCATTTTGATTGTTTGAGCAAATTCCAAACATAATAGTTCATTCATAATGTATTACCTCGGTAGATAAAGCAACACTGGAAGTTAGAGAAGAGGAAGAGTTCGTTACCTTTTTTGGTTTCTTCAGAGTGATACACGGGTTGAAAGTTCCCTCATACAACAATCGATCCTACCACGTTGCACCTTTCCCCCAAGAGTGATTCATACATCCACTAATCAAAATATGTTTGCTTTGAAACTTCAGTTGCATTGCTCCTACCCGATCTCGCAGAACATATCTAACTTAAGCAAGCAAAATCTGTAAATTCCATCATAGAATCTGTGAGGCAAAAAGGAGTGGAAGTGTTGACCTGCAAGGATCAAATTATGGATGGGTGGCATAGGGAAGGAGCAGAGAAGACCAACGTTGCTCTGGTCTTTATTATTGAATTCACAATTGCACTTACATCTTGAAACGGTGACAGCCGGGAGAAACAGAACCTCACTTTCCTTCATTGTTCAATGATTTCTCTTCCCTCCTAAAAGGAAAAGGTTTTTTTTATGAGTGATGGAATCAGCAGAGTGTACTACTGGTCGAAAGAGGCATACACCAAACAAAAACACTGCAAACAAATCAATAAACCAGTGAAGTTCAACACTTACAATTATGTTATGCAAAAGCTCTTTTCTAGAATGGTCCTTTCATGTTTAAAAAGTTGATAAAGATGTAATCTTTCATTCTGTAAGCACTCTCCCACACCCCTGAGCACCAATACAAATGATTAGTTGACCAAAACTCGAGCTGGTTCATAAAGAATCTTACCATTAATGAAATCCAGAACTCCGAAAATAGACTAAGCAAACCAAATGGAAAAAATGATGCACCTGCTCTTAGTAACTTCTCGAGGTTCCTATCATTTTGTTTTCCAGTGGATGATACTGCCATCTTTGAGGCTATTTCTCATTTACATATGCCCATCTCCTCCAGATCATGTTTCTGGGAGGCAACTACCATGAGACTGAAGTCATGAGTATAAAAGATCAGGTCATATAATGCGATTTAAAGAAAGTAACAGTCCGTAAGTAAAGGGAACTGAACTGATCAATAGTCTGCTATTATTATAAACACAACCCCAGTAAGAAAATCGTCTTATACATGCTGTCGTAGCTCACCATACACATATTAATTGGTTAGAAAACACATAAACACCAATATCGTCTGAAAGAAACTGCGGGTTGGGGAGCAATTGACATGAAAGATCATTTTTAATTTTTTTAACTTCCTTTTTCTTCTACTCTGAGATTCCAATAATACGCATCAAACTTCTATTTCTATAATATACATAATGCTACGAATTCGAGATTATTTGCAGGCTAGGAAATCTCACCCTTTCGTAAGTTGGATCCAGAATAAGATTACTACAGTTCAGCCCATAAATCCTCAACTGCATGCCTGCAAACCACATGACAAAAGCACAATCATTTAGCGTGAATAAAAACAGTATGCAGCCAAATCAGGATCGAGGAGAGGACACCCACAACCTGCAACAAAGTGAAGCTAGAAAACCATTTAGTTAAGATCCACAATTCACATCTCTTACACAAGATGACCGTGGCTATGCTTGGTAAAGAGGCAGCAGAAACATAAACTATAGTAACTCTGTAAACCACCGCAAGATGAATTAAAGGAACTGGAAATCAACCGGAAGGAGGACTCTATAGGAAATTGCAGAAATCATTTTGACAGATTATGTCAATAATGCAGAGCAACTCAGTTTCCTATATCCAAACAACTTAATAAAAACAATAGATTGAGACACAATTCCAACATGGACTCTTATACCCTTGTAAGGGCAGGCAAGGAGAAATAAATGCTATATATACTGTTGATAGAAACCCTAAAAACAAAATAAAAAAAAAACATCAATGATCCAGAGAACCAAAATAAACTTCATAACCATCCAAAAGCAATTGTTCATCTCGAAAACAAATAAACTATGCAAACTACTCTATTGATTGGAATACAACCATAAAAGATTCCAAAGTATCACTACTGCTTAAGACTTCAATTCCTCTACCTTCAAAACTCCAAAAGAACATGTATAAACCATCACCATCACAAGACAATGTTACTGACCTGATATATGTTGCATAACCACAAAATCATACTGTTGCATTCTGCTTAACCATACCCAAGGAATATGTATAAGCAATTGATCATGAACAATAATGTAACTATGTTGTATAGTGCATAACCACAAAAGAATGCATTGGCATGCTGCATAACCAAAAAATCATGATGTTATTTGATGCATAACCATAACCAAAGTTCTGAACCAGTTCTGTAGGTGCTAAAGTTGCCCAAATGGCTTAGACTGGAATTAGGTCAAACTTTATGAAGAGCAAATAAAAGTAGCGAGTACACCAAGATATAGCTTACATCTATAGGAAATAATCAAACGAAGACGGAATGGAACAAAAAACAAAGGCATTTAAAAAAAAACGTATACATGTTTCTATCCCTTCCCCTAATCCTCGTTTACTCTGCAATCACCCCTTTCCCAATTTGTGGTTGGCCAGTGGAATCATAAAAGTCTCATGTATCCATTTATAAACGTACATCAACAAAACAACATTAGAAAAGGCAGAGAGACCTGCAATGAGAGACTGAAATCACAAAATAGATTGGAAAAGAAATTGAAGCAAAAATCGAATGTTAGGTTGAAGAGGTTTTCAAGACCTACGATTGTTCTGACAGGCTGTTCAGCATTTTAAAACAAAGACAATTACCATGATTGGCAGATAAATCTGGAACTCCTTCATGACAAACAATACATATTAGTTGAGTGCCTTGAGGCAATGGATTGGTCCCTTGACCCCTTGCTCCTCGAGGAAATCATCTGTAGCTTGAGCTGTACGTGGTTGCTTCACGATCGAGCATGGACCAGCTGGCTCCACAACCCCTCACTCCCTGAGAAACCCATTTGCAAGGAAATTAGTAATCTACCGTTCAAAAAGACTCTAAAATGGTAGCCAGACAGGGCTGCAGTAGTAATTTTTCTACACTCAAACTTAAAAAGAGGCTTCTCGTCCGCCATCTCCATATGGTAAACCTATTTGTCGTAAGAGAGACTGTAGAAGCAATTTTTTCTACACCCAAATTTTTTTTTTTTTTTTTTGAAAAAGATACCCAAGCACGAGAAAATAGTAAAGCACCTAGTGTAAGATCCAGACACTTTGAACTAATAAAATAAGGTGTAACTGAAATTGAAAATGGAAAAGAGATCAAGAAACGAAAGGAAAGAGAGGGAAGCATCTTGCTTCCAGTCCACCTCCTATTTTGTTCCTCTTCGAAGTGAGAGTGGTCGTAGAGCTTCGATGAAAGCTAAATGGCAAAAGAAACATAGGTAAACATGAATAAGCTGCAGACTCGATGGAATTGGCAATGCGAGGGAATCGATAGTGTAAAAGGAAGCCCAAAAGCTAACCTTTCCAACTGAATCACACCCATCATCGTTCAACAAAAATCTGAATCCTGCACAGACCCACCGCCAAAGAAGGCAAATAAATCACACGAACAAATACAACACAAAATAAATGGGTCGGAGAAGAGAGTGAGAAATCTGGAAATCGTAACTATCGGTCGGAGAAGAAGGAGAACTGGATGAGGTGGAGAAGACCTCTATTGCACTATTAACTACCAAACAAAGACAAAAAAAAATCAAAATTTAATTCAGGGGAAAATTGAATCACCAAATATCCAGAAAAATTGTAAATGACCCAAAAAATTTCTATCTGGCCAGCCAACTACGTCGCAGTTGTGGTCGGCAGAAAGGGTCGGGACTAGCGATGCCGACTTCCTCTTCCTCTGCCTAAAATGAAACGGAAAAAAAAATCAACAGAACCATATGAGAGAAAGTCCTCCTCCAAAATGCAAACAAAAACAAAACCCAAAAAGAAAGAACCTACTTAGAGAGC